CGGGGACGTATACCAACAAACGCTCGCTACACCCAGAGTTTCAGACCCTCCGCACCCACCCCGTCGCCGGATCGACTTTGGCTCCTGGGCCTGGACGCTCTCGGGGTCGCTTGCCTCAGCCCCGCGCCAGGTGCCGGGTGGCTTCAGGCACTTGACTGCACCCGCATCGGCGAACTGGACAGCCTGGTCCGTACAGCCTGGGAGCCTGATTCCTTTGACTCGGATTGGTTCAAACCCTTTCCCAGCTTTGCCGTCGCACCTCCCACCTTGGCCTTAGCCCTTTGCTCACAAAGTTGCTGCCACTCTGCCTTTACATCCTAAAAAAAACCCACCTAGTTTGTCCCAGAGCCTCTGCACTTGATTTTCCTGGGCCTGGAAAACTCACCCTTTTCATCCTGAAGTTCTCAACTCTCTTGTCCTCTCAGCAGAGGGATCTTCTACCCCGACCACATGATTGTAATCTCTTCCTTTCTGCACCTTCTCAATACACAATGGCTGTTACAGCACCAGTTTTATTTTTTTCATCCTACTCGTTAAAACTTGAAATGACACTTGTTAGGCATTTTCTTTTTCCTTTTGTCTTGCTGGGAATCAAACTTAGGGCTTTGCGTGATAGGCAAGCACTCTGTCACTGAGCTTTATGCCCAGCCCTAAGGTGATAACCGGCTTCCTGTATTATAATTTGAAAATAATTGGAATGAGTAATATTTCACTGGATCTTTAGACTAAATGAGATAATATATGTGAGTGCCTGTAATAGTCACATGATAGCCACTGGTGGGGCTATCATTGTTACAGCAGTCCCAACCGATGATGCTATTACAGATATTCTTTCTACTCCTCTCTCACCCTATCTTGCTTTCTTCCATTTCTTGGCAGAAGACCCTGAGTCCTGTTTCACTAGGATAAAAAAATATATGTGTGTGTGTGTGTGTGTGTGTGTATCCAACTAAAGCAACCTTAATGTTCTTCTCAAAGTCTTATCTACCATGGATTCTGTGTCCTCACATGCTCAAAAAAAGGAGAGTCCTTTCTGTCTTCCCGAAACGACCCTGGTCCTTATCTTTCCGACCTGTGACTTTCCTAGGATTGTTAGGGGGAGGGGCTCCATTTAACCTTCCTTGTTTCCCTCCTCAATCCTTCCAGTGCCAAACTGCACAGATAAATCTATGCTTGTTCCTCCCTTTCCTCCAAGGATCATGCTTGTATGGCCGAGGGTTGCATCCAGGACCCACTGAGCTACACCTCCAGCCCTTTTTCAATTTTATTTTGAGAAGGGTTCCCACTGAGTTGCCTAGGCTGGCCTGGAATCTGCAATCCTTCTGCCTCAGGCTCCCAAATACAGTTTCTGGGTTTACAGGTGTGTGCTCCCTCACCCAGCTCAAAAGGATCTTCTTGATAAATGCAGTCACCCTTTTTGGGGCAGGGGTTTGAGAAAGGGTCTCACTATGTAATTGAGACTGACCTGAAACTCACTATGTAGCCCAGGCTGTCTCGAACTCACAGCGATCCTCCTGCCTCAGCCTCCCGAGTGCTGGGATTACAGATGTGCACCACCACGCCTGGCTTCTTTTTTTTTTTTTGAAGTCTTTTTCCCTCAAAAAACGGTTATAATAGAATAAAGTATTGACATAAGGCACTCAACATAATGCTGCCCATAATTACCCATTAATCACAAAGTAATCAGTGACTTTTAGTTAAGTGTGATGACACTTGTGATCCCAGCACTCAGCGAGGCTGAGGCAGAAGGATAGAAAGTTCAAACCCAGCCTGGGCAATTTATTGAGACCGTAGGTCAAAAAGATACAAAAAGGGCTGGCAGTGAAGCTCAACATGAAAGCCTACAACTTCCAGTCCTAGCTCTCAGCTGCACGGTCTGCCCAAGGTTGCAGCTCATCACAGTCTCCTGTCTGGATGCCCGCAGTGCCTCACTCTCAGAGGAACTGAGCAGAGTTCATGAGTATATTTTTCATCCCTTAGGATACATTTCTTTATTCTCAGCTTTTCAAATCCTCCCTTTCTTCAAATAACAATTCACATATTATTTAACTGCTGATACCTGGATTCTTGTTCCCACATTCTTCAATCTGGAGAATCTTTAATTTCCAATTTGCTAGACTTTGCTCTGGGTCTTCCTTATTCTCTGGAAGTAATGTGTAAGTAAACATTAATTTAAAAAAAAAAAAGTCTGGGTGTGGCGACACACACTAGGGGCTGAGGCAGGAGGATCAAACTAAGTCCAAGGCCAGCCTGAACTATACAAGACCCTGTCTCAAAAAAAAAACAACAACAACAACAAAAGTAAATAAATGAAAATTTTTTTAAACAAAAGAAAGGGCCTGCCTGGAATGCGCCTAAGTAGTAAGCATGTGGTGAATGGCCAAAGCCCTGGGTTTGGTCCCAGCACTGCAAAAAAGCAAAAACCCTTTATCTTCTGACCAGATACATAGTCATGGTAGGAAAATTAGAAAATACGAATAAAAAAAAAATAAGGATGATCCAAAGACCCAGGGAAAAAAAAAAACTTATACATGAAATTTCCATTATTTAAAAAAATCTACATTTTTACAAAAAGATACTATTTTTGTAAACTGTTTTTGTTGTTCACTTTGACTTCTTATTAGAAGCCTGGACCCAAAATTTTATCTCTCAGATTTGAGAAACTAAAGAAAAAATTTTAATTTTCAAGTGTGCTTTTATAAAAAAATACACTTTCAGAAAAGGATATGAAAGATAACAATATAATTAGGATTGTGGATATGAATCAACAAGGTTTGCAAAGACCTTGTGGAACAGACCTTATTCATTTCCTGACTATTCTAGCTCATGGTAAATACAGAATTGAGGATACACTGCCAAAATGTGTTAGACATAAACACAGAATTATGAAAAAATAGTCTCAGTATTTAAAAATATCAGTTTTATCACATTCAAGCAAAAAAACTCTGACATTTCTGGAAATTACTACTAAAACTAGTTTTAATTTGTTTTTTGTTATGCTTTGGTTTTTGTACCAGGGATCCAACTTGAGACCTTGCACTTGCGAGGCGGGGGGCAGCACCACTGAGCTAGATCCCCAGCCCCTAAAACTAGTTTTTCAAATGGATGAAAGCACAGGTGTACTACCAAAAAATATTGATCTCAGCACTTTCTGCTGCTTTTGTGTCTCTTGAAAGGTTCAGGGCACACTGACACCTAATCCTGGTGCTGGCTGGTAGGAGACGTTCTCTTGCCCTTGTGACCTGACCTCTGGAACTGGGTGGGAAGTGTTGAAAATATGTCCCTTTGTGTCCACTGCCCACTCCTTTCCACTCCCCAACTGTCTGTAGAAGTTGCTTTCCTCTTCTGGAGGCCAGAGCAGGTGGAGTTACCCACTGCAGACTTCCACTAGGATGGTACCAGCCGGGGGGGGGGGGGTG